AATATTAATCTATCATTTTAATGTACTTAACACAACAATAATCATTTTAATAGACTTAACACAATAATAATCTATCATATTAATGGACTTAATAATAATCTCTCATTTCATTGAACTTAAACCAATAATAATCCATCTTTTTAATGGACTTAATAATAATCTCTCATTTTAATGGATTTAACACAATAATAATCTTTTTAATGGACTTAACACAATAATAATCTCTCATTTAAATGGACTTAAAAATAATCTCACATTTTAATGAACTGAACACAATAATAATCTCTCATTTTAATGGACTTCATCTCTCATTCAAATGAGCTTCCCACCTGATTTAATCTCTCATATTTATAAGTCTACCATTCGTCCTGGATTTAAACATTGCTGCCACATATGACCCGCTGCTCCTGTTACATATTTAGACATTTTTACTCAATGATTTCCAGCCAACTTTTCAGTGATCGAAGGTAATAATCGGTTGGTGCTGGGTTAGAAGAATATGGCGTGTGGGGGTAGAACAGACTAACCGAGTTCCCAAAATGTTTCCATTTTTGGTTTTGTTTTACTGTATACGGCCTTGTGTTGTTAGGAATCATCTTTCCTATTGACAACGCTTTTCGAAAACCAAACAAAAAACAGTTATGGATAAGTTGCAGCTTCTGGACTTGCAAATGTGCATTTAGTGTTTCATTGCGTTTTGAGGACACTAAATGGATCATAACCCGATGATGGCACGGCAAGCACAACATTATTTCTTCATGGAGCTCTGCTTTAGGTATCGGTTGTAGAGATTTATTTTTGTCAATCAGCTGCGTAGTGTAACTGGTCACGGTGTAACGGATAGCGACTCGGAATTGGGAAATCAGATAGCTGAGTTTGCGTCACATTCACTTAGTACATACTCTGAGCATGTTATCTCTGATTCACTTTCCGTTTTGGTACCTATGAATTAAGTGCAGTACTAGATTGGCGGCTAGGTCTCATTATTTTACAACTGAAATAGTTAGATGTAACCGTAAATTCTATGCTAACATTTCTTTCTATCGCATTTCTCACTTCTGGAACTTTCTTCCGAGTTCTTGATTTTTGATCTTCAAAAATTTAAATGCAATGTCTATCGTGATTCATTTTGATTCCTCTTCTTTTATTGTTCTCGATCTTTAAAAATATTTCTCCTTTTCTTATTCTTTCTCGCTTTATAACCAGTTTGTATCTCAGTAAATTTTCTTATTACTGATAAAAAAAATAATATTAGATTTTTTATAGCTTCTGACTTCACCAATTACAGTATAGACAATGTGCGTATGCAGATCCGTGATTACTCATTTGAAACGTGGACCTTACATTCTTTGCTGCGATGTCTGAGAGGTTGCCAATTTCCTCAATGGGTAGGATTTTTATATAACTCCGTGTAAAATGTTCCTTTTCCACCCTTCAAACTCAGGTGACGCTATACCGGTCAAGTGGACATGAATTCGGCGGGTAAGAGGTCACCTTAGGTCAAGTTCTAATATGCTCTGTTGTATCTTTGAATGAAAAATCTATTCTGACATGATCTTAGGTGAGACACACATCACAAACATTCAACAATGACTACCCTTCCTGTTTAATCTGGGTGTAAATGCATAGGAATAAGTCAATGGATCAGCGAAGATGATTAAAATATGCAGTAGAGGCAGAAGAGGGAATATTGTCAGTCTGAGGTTAATGGTAATGACAATGATACTTTTACCATTTCCTTATAAGGAAACATTCGTAATTCATTGACCGAGCAGCCAGTACTGCTTTCGGTTGGAGTTTATAAAATATTTCTCTTTAAACAATTTTTCAAGACTATATGTTTCTCAAGTCCATTAACTGTTATCGCTCTTTCCAATGTTGATAGGGGAGGGCTTTCTTATTAACTTTTTGTTTGAAGAAGTGATTATGTTGATTATGCCATTATTTCCTCTTCAAGTTAAATGTTATATCCATTTTAGTTGTTGCCGCTGTTGGTAATCATCAAATGATATGTTTTATGTTATTTTGTTTATTTTTGTTATTCTGTAGCGACAGTCCACAATATTCATAGAAGGATAATCTTTACCAAGATACCCAGGCTTAACTCATTCAAAGTCTTTTTTTAAACGTTGATCTTCGTAAGCGTTTGTATATAGCTGACAGTTTAGATATATCTGAACGGGTTTAGAGCCATGCACGACATCCAAATGAAAGTCTTGAGGCTATTTAAGTACATGACTCGAGTATTCAGATTGATATATTGGTTTTCTGTTTTCGGTGAAACTCCATCTCGTGTTGACTATTCTAATTTCAATTTCCTTTTCTCTTATACGAAATCAGTTATAACTGGTCCATATGCCGAGGTATCTGAAGTGTTTAGTATTTACTAATTCCACATCTTGTGTTTTATGAGGGATTGCTTTCCTTCCAATTCCAGATCATAGTTTCTGTTTTGGAAATATTTAAGTTCCATTTCCTGAAACACTTGGTAAAGGATGTTAATTTTCTGTTCAAGATCTTACTTATCCAAACTATGAAATACCTGTCATCAGCATGGACCCCTCTCCTCCTCATCAGTACAGACAGACAAAAATGAACAGACTAAGTTAGTTAGGTTTTGGTTTTGTAGCAATTTGCGGTGTTGTGGGAAACTACTTGCGGCACAGCGTATTCTATATTCAATTTTCGTTTCTATTATACTAAATTTGTTTTAACTGATCCATTCACTGTGGTACCTGATGCGTTTTGTATTTACTAATTTACTAATTACACGTCCTGAATTTTTATGATGGATTCAGTGTATGTGTCATTAGGACAAGTCGATTTTAAAACCTTGCTATCGCACTCAATTTGAATGTTGGGGTTAGACATGATAAATAATGACACGAATATTTTTTCAAAATCATTACCGTTATTTGTTTATTTTATTTATTTGGGTGGGGGCGGGAAATAAATTTAAAAGATTAAGTTTATTTACAAAATCGTAGCGTTGGAACTTAATTCCGTTGATCAGTGAAAGCCTTAAAGCACGCCCTTATGAAATCTATAATTTATTGAAGCTTTATAACTTTTATATGGACAAGATGCATGGCACAAGCACATTATTACTAGATCATTGTGCGATCAAATAAAACTATCATTTACTTCAAAGGGAAATTATACTGTATCATAATATATTATGATGAAATATTATACAGTGTGGTAGTTTAACTGTGATTTTCACTAAACAATCCAAATTTAAAAAAAAAAGATTTTGTTTCATAATTTGTACCCAGCAGTATTAGGCTGTTATATAAACGTTTATCTGTTTTTCGTTTTTATTAATTATGATCTATCAAATAATCTAAATAATGATCAGATAAGCCTAACAAGCGTAGACATTTTGTAATGTTTTACAATTTTTTTACAGTTTTTACTTATTGAATTCAGTAAATAAAAGCTGTATAGTTTTCTTGTGGTGATTCACAATTAAAATTCTGGTTTGAATATATTTTCCATTTCAGTATGTCTAATACAAAATATATCAAAAACATGCAGAAATTAGGTATTTCTGTAAATTTTTCAGACGATCTTTAAAATTAAGTGCTCTAAAGTAAAAGCTATAAATGTAATTTTTGGTGGCAGTATTTATCATATAAAACCCCAGATTTTACATTTAGTGCAATGAAAATTTCTTTGGAAAAGTGAAAAATTAACCTGCGCTAATACGTCATCACTACTTCCAACTCCAGATCAGATCATTTTTTTTTGGAAAGATTTCTCTTGAGTCCTATTTCTTGGGACTCTATGATGTTGATTTTCTGTTCAAGATCATTAGTGTTTGCTCGGTCAATGAATGCCAAATGTTTCTTCAGAGGGAAACGGCTAATATTAACGTTATCTATACCATGGCATTAGCATAGCACCCTCATTATCAATACTTTGGCCTTAGGATGGAAGTCAAGATCTTTGTCTTCTCTTGATAAGGAACACCATAGAAGATTTCAGAATATAAAATGTGATTTGCTGGAATGGCTTTCAAAGATGACTTAGAAGAAGAAACACGAGCAATGGTAGAAAAACATAAAATTATATATTTCTAAAGAAAGAATATTTTTTTATTTATTAATCCATGTCTTTTATTACTTAAAATGTCATTTTTAGTCGATACCCATATTTGAGTAGACACCCCGATTATTTTGAAAAGTACAGAGCGTATACCCAAAAATGGGTATAAAATCCTCAAACACTAATATTCCATGGTTATAATTTATTACATTGGAATCGTAATCACGATCCAATTCACCAGACCTACAAATTCAAAAAGAAATCGGAAAAAATTTTCCGATTTCCTTTTGAATTTGTAAGTTTGATGAATTGGATCATGATTACGATTCCAAGGTAATACATTGTAACAATAGAATATTAGTGTTTGAGCCTTTTATATTATATATATATATATATATATATATATATATATTAGGTACCTTCCAAAATTCGCTAACAAAGAGGATACATGATCCCAAAATTCCCTATAGCATAATCAAAACAAACGTTTATCATCAAAATCTTTGTGTTATTAAGAGGAAAGATCAAAGGATTTTTTTTATGTAAAAAGAATCTTTTTTATCACAGACCGATGAAGAGAAATGACTTTCGAAGAAGATTTAACAGAAGAAATACTTGAAAAACATGAGATTAAACAATCAAGTCGCTTAAATCACACATATAAAGAGAAAACAACGTTTTTCTGCCACACCTGTCTGGTGCTTGTGCTATCTTGAGAATTTTGACAAAATCTAAAGAAGAATCTGCAATATTAACGGTCGTCCATACACATCTCGGCATCAGTCAATTTCCCACCAACGTAACGTAGCATACTTGTTTCTTTACTGTAAATATTTTCATGGTCGGAGTTTTGATGAGCTTTCCTCTTTGGTGCCTCGACTTCATGAATTTAAGCACAGTACTAAATTGGCGGTTAGGTCTCCATTTTACAGTTGAACTAATTAGATGCAACCATGAATTTTATTTTAAGTGTTTCTTCGCTCTTACTTCTCACTTGTCGATCTCTATCACGGATTCTTGCTTTTCTGGCAATTACTATCTATCTATCTATCTATCTACCTCAGTGTTTTCATATTTATTTATCTATCTATCTATCTATCTATCTATCTATCTATCTATATCAGTGTTTTCATATCTATCTATCTATCTATCTATCTCAGTGTTTTCGTATCTCTCTATCTATCTATCTATCTATCTATCTATCTATCTATCTCAGTGTTTTCATATCTATCTATCTCTCTATCTATCTATCTCAGTCTGTTCGTATCTATCTATCTATCTATCTATCTATCTATCTATGTCTGTTCATTATCTATCTATCTATCTATCTATCTATCTATGTCTGTTCATTATCTATCTATCTATCTATCTATCTATCTATCTATGTGTCATGAGCCCTTACCTAGATCGACAGAATGAACTCTTCCTAACGCTATGTATACTACGTCTCTCAAGAGAGACGAAGACGGTATTGAATCAAGTCGAGCTGATAGTCGTTCACTCTAAACGAGTCTGACAGTCATACTAACACCTTCCACTTCTTGTATTATTTTTCGTGTAATATATTCTTTGTTATCTCTACTCTTGTGTTTCGTGTTCTCCTCCCCTGTTCCTAACCTTGGACCATAACAGTGGCGACGAGGATGAGATTTGAACTCACGTGGGGATATCCCAATGGATTTCCACATGGGCCATCCAGGAAAAAAACAGGATGACATCTTTAATGCGAAGTTATGTGTACTGGTCAAACATGGATCAAGATATTATACAGATGGTGGACAAATGCAAAGGCTGTTCCTTAGCAGCCAAGGCACCTCTAATCACTCATAATCCATAGCCTAAGACAGATCGACCGTGGTCGAGAATCCATGTAGATTTCGCAGGTCCATTAGAGGGTTTCTATTACTTGATTGTAGTAGACAGTTACAGCAAATGGCCAGAAGTATTTCGTTGTAGAAAACCTACTTCTGAGACGACAATAAATTGCCTTCACGAGCTGTTTGCTCGTTTCGGAGTGGTTGATTGTTTAGTCCCCGATAACGGGACACAATTTACATCTGCGGATTTTCAAGTGTTTTGTGAAACCTTTTAAAATGAAACACATAAAATCTCCGCCATATCACCCAAGGTCAAACGGGCAAGCGGAGAGGTTTGTAGATACATTAAAAAGAGCACTAAGGAAAGCTTATGACGTACCAACAGAAAAGGATTTACAACAATTCTTGCAAGTGTATAGAATTACACCGAACAGTACTACGCCATCGGCATTATCACCGGCGGAAGTAATGTTCGCTCGAAAAAATTAAATCGGTATTCGACAAATTACTGCCAAAACAGACAAAGCAATCACTAACGTCGTTTGTACCAAAAAGAAAATTTAGCCCAATGGAGAAAGTTTTTTTTAAATGTTTAAAAACAACACATCCTATTGAGAGCCAGGTACAATAGAGAAACGAATCGGGAACGTGATTTACATAATTCAAGGTCCGAAGTTCTCGCATAAAAGGCACTTAAATCAGATCAGAAAGAGGCTGTTAGAGGATTCTAAAGGTCTACCTCAGGAAGTGGAGGAATTAATGGAAACAACATTTGACACCTTCAATATGCAAAGGCCTCAAGCAATTTCAGAAGCGCGGAAATCAAGCAGAAAAAGAAAATTTACAGAGCCTTTGATGATTAATCCGAAGAGGAAAAAATATTAAAGACCCCTGTGAGGTAAAAGCTTGGGAGGGAGTGTCATGGGTCCTTACCTAGATCTACAGAATGAACTCTTCCTAACGCTATATATACAACGCCTCTCAAGAGAGACGAAGACGGTATTGAATCGAGTCGAGCTGATAGTAGTTCACTCCAAACCAGTCTGACAGTCATACTAACACCTTCCACTTCTTGTATTATTTTTCGTGTAATATATTCTTTGTTGTTTCTTGTGTTTCGTGTTGTTCTTCCGTGGTCCTAACCTTGGAATATAACACTGTCTGTTCATATCTCTCTCTTTCTTCCTATCTATCTATCTATCTATCTATCTATCTATCTATCTATCTATCTATCTATCTATCATTATTCATTAGAGAATGAGCTTTGCTCCTCGCAATTTTCTATTGACCCATTCTCTATTTCGCATATGGTACGGTCTAAGCACCATTTACAAGTGTTAGAAGCTGTTTGTATTAAATTACAGCAGCCATCTTTGTGTAAAGCAGAAGGAGAAATTCCTTTGGTCACTCCAGTTATTTAGAATATTGTGAGGACCTAGGTTTTCTTATAAACTCACGATGAAGTATTTACACCTTTTCCTAGATTTAGCTATATTTTAACCGGGAATTTATTTTTAGACGTACTCCAAATCTTCCTCCATATTTCATAAATTGCACACCAATTTAGATGTAATCATTTTGGCAACATTGGTCCCTAAATGAAGTATTGGCCAAAAAAGATGCCTAGGTTTAATAC